AAGCAACTTGGATGAATAAGTTGGGTTCTACTAAGGAACAGGGACAAAGAACAACAGGCCTGGATCCTGAATCTTTTTTTTTCCAGGTCTAAGAAGCAGTCTGAGAGGGGCTCCCAGCTTCTCCCCCTTGTGAGATGTACAAACGGCTCCTTCCCTTCTGCCAGCAAAGCAGGCAGGAAGCAGCTCCTCCTGGTGCTTCCAAGTCAGGTTTTCTACTTTGTTTACCTCCTCCTCCCTCACAGGCAGGAGGCTGGCATGGGCAAAGAGTTTGCCCAACCCAAGAAGAGGGAGAATGGAACAAAGCACAACACTGGAAAGGGATACTGTTTGGTACCAACTCCGTAAACACTTCTGCAAAGTGCTGAACACGGAACGATTTAAAGCCAGAGGTTTCAACAACGCAAGGTTTCTTCTCTTATGTGAAGAGCCGAAAGGGACTCCCTGAAGCAGAGCCACAGTAACTGGAAAAAGTAAGTAAACGGACTTCTCTGGCGGGTACGAGAAGTGGGAGAACACTGTACCTACCTCAGAAATGAGTAAACTGTTGATCTTTGCTTGCCCCTTATTATGCCCCTGGACAAAAGTGATTGCATCTGCTTTTTTTTTTTAAATTAGTTTTTACCAAGGAGCTGTTAGTGATGGGAAAGATGCTAGGTCCTAAGAGAGTTTTTCTTTTTCCTTGGGAAAAGCAGAATGTGCAAAGTTTTCAGGTGTTTTTCCCTTCCAAGCTCCCATTTCTGCCCTCTTCTGCAAGAACATCTGCATCTGTTCATCTCCAAACTCCATTCACTGCCAGATGATAACACCCAGCCAGGAAGGGCATGCCAGGGCAGCAGTATTTCTGACTACATTCCATTTATCAGCCAAAGAACAGGACAGAAACATTATGTCCTCTCCTTTCTGACCTCCACCTTTTTAGTCTCAAAGGCAGTAAAAACTAGTAAATTACAAGATCAGGTACAGAATGCGATTTCCAGATACATGGGTTCAACTTTACCCACCTGAACAGACCAACGCTCCAAGTGACAGCCAGAACAGTTGGCTTTACTGAAGTTCTAGTATTTCAAACAAACCTATGCGATTTAAGGAGGAAAAAAAAAGTGAGGAATTTTGCTCCCTAACAGTCTCCCTGAGGCTGATTGCCCCTGGCAGTGGTGGTCACCTGCTGCAGGTCCTGCACTGGGAGGTTCATTGTCACAGCTTCTTTTCTGCAGCACGAGTCTCACCAAGAGCACTCGGACAACCATCATGTGGCTGGCACATGCTCCCACTGGAAGATGACGAGACAATCATGCTTTACTCTTCCCATCTCACCATGCAGTCGTTTCAGAAAATGCAGCAGAGTTACCATGGAGGATCACAAGATTCTACAGTAAGTGTCAGCACCCCGTGACGAATTGGAGAGCTGCTGAGTTCCAGTATCACCCTCCAGGCATGTGATCCTCCTTGGGAGTGATTCAGACAGCAACCAGGAATGGAAACTAAGAATTTTAGAAGAAATGGACTTAACTGAGGTAATTTTATATGTATCTACAGTCAGGTAATCTGTAATCAAGAAGCCAGCTATAACATTAGAAGGGGGTGCAGAAATACCTTTATAACACCTCCCCCTGACAATAGAACATCCCCCTTCAAGGGATCAAAAAGTCCTCCCTCTTGTTCTTCTGGAAGTAAATGAGTCCTGGAAACACTGGTCCTCCCGCAAGGCTATTTCAGTGAGCGGAAATCTTTTGATTGACCTTGGATGAAGGTATTGTTCCTTTAACTGGTACCAAGCTCTTCATTTAGAGAAACCACCAACCACCAGGACACATTAAGCATTGGGCCCTGGTCCTGCCAGGCAAGTCTCAATGACAGATTAACACCCTTGCAGGGAGCCCCAGTGACCGTAATACAAATCCAACTCAAGTGCCACCCTACAGGATGGGAGCCCTCTTTCCTTGTCCACTCTAAAGCCCTTCCAAATGAAATGGGTATTTTGGCAAATTCATTTTATTCAGAAGGAACTGAAAAGAGAACCCCTAGAAAGGAAACAAGACAGAAAGTGCTGTAGGATAATGCTTTTTAATTGTTATTTTTATATCTTTAAAAACAAATCAAACCATTAAAAACATAGACATGTGCTGAAATTTCCTGTACAACAAATATGAAAACAATAAAATTTGTACATCATTTCAAGATATTCAACAGTCACTTATTTGAAACACATCAACTTTTCCCTTCTTAAGCAGGCCCCAAATGGGAAAAAGCGTAGAACAGAAATGCAGGAGATGTAATTGCCACACAGTGGAGCTTTCAGCCTGCAAAGTGGATAGCTTTAGATAAGCAACGACAAGAGAAAACACTGACCAAAGAGACAGAACTCGGCAATCGTAACACAGAGAACATCAGAAGGCAGAGAAAAGTTATTTGCAGGAGTTCAAGTCATCTTGACCAAAACAGGTCCACAAGGTAGTAGAGCATTACCCGCAATCCTCCTTTCTCCTGCAGAGACATCCTATGAGGCATGTCCTACCTATTCACATCAACACTATGGCCAACTTCATGTTTACAACATTTTAAGCCTTACCAACTTTTTCCATCTATACCTGGGATCAGCAGGTCATTTACTTCAAAACTTCAGCCTCTTCTCACAATGAGTCAGTTTTGGGAAAACACATGCATACAATTATATTAAAAATGGATACTCATTAGATGATGACACAAGTGAGAATATGGCGCCTGCTTCCAACATCAAAACGATGGGACAGATGTTTGTTTTCTGTAAGAGTATCTGGGCAGTGGTTAGGCAGAAACACATACCATTCTAGCTAGTTTTCTGATATTCTGCTGCAATATAATGCAAGCACGTGATCTAGCATAGAAGATTCACGTCCCTCTCTTCTGTGCTATATAAAACAAGGGCCTTCTGAAGCAAGAGAGCATTCGCCCACCCTAAGGCAGCAAGTTCTTGGGAGGCCTGGAATGATGAATACTGTCTCTGTGCTCTGCACAGATGTGCAGTAATTAAAAGATTGAGAGGAAAAAAAATAAACGTGACCATAAGGGGCAGGCTTTCCTCCCTCCCAGTTCCTTTGGAATGGTTCTGTTTGGTCCAAGTGGTTTATCCTTGTTTGTCATCTGACAGCAGCTTAGGAAGAATGCCGGGTGAGAGATCCACTATGTGGACTGCCAGTTTGCATGGAGTTGGGCAGGATCATTAACCTTTTATTGATTTATTTTAAAGTATTTCAGAGAAAGAGAAAGAAAAAAATATATTCAAGAACGCACAAGTGGCTGCTACAAAAAAAAAAGCTGAAGCGCACTGTGGTTTGTCCTCCAGTTTTGCTCACACAGCACACCACAATTTCACACCAGGTTGTAAGAAATTCCTCTGCATATCTGTAGTTACCATTGTGCACCAGGAATTCCTATGTTTTCCTTCAGCTGACAGTGGATTCTGTGAGGTCACCAGGTTCCACTGTAATGCCACATACACTCCTAGTATCTGTAGCTTTTTCCAACAACTCTGCTACAACAAACAAATAACAAAAAAAAAAAGAAAAAGCAGCAGAATTCCAGGGACTCTGGTTATTAAACCTTCATAAGATTTTCACCACTTTATAGCTATTCTATAGCATTATTCATAAACTTCATATTCCTCTGCAATGCAACCAGTGCAATGATCCAAAGACCAAAAAACACCCCCCCAAGATACTTAAGAAGTCCTTCATTGGTAATGCCTTCGTAAGTCTAACAGTTATGTACCAGCAAAATAAAGCCAATCTAATCCCTGACTTGTAAAATCAGCAACTAGGGGTTTTCTGCTTGTTTGTTCTGTTTTGAAAAGGACCAGTTGAAACAACAGCAGCAGTATATTGCAAATAATTATAAAACAATTACATTAGATCAATGAGATGCAGGCAGGTAAGATGTGTCTCAGTTTTGAATGGCTAAAACAACCAAGAAATTGGTCTTTACAGCAGAATTTTGTGCAATTTGTTTTGGTAGAAACAGTAAAGCCAGTCAATCTGTTTGGGAGTGCTTGGACACTTGGAACCTTAGTTCGACATTTTCACAGATTTATATATTTGAGGAAAAACAACAACAATGATAAAAAGACACCAACCTGAGTAAAAAACTCTATTAGAATAGAGTGATCATTATTCAGTAAATCATATATTGCACCTTTAAATAAATCATTATAAATTGTATAAAAACAGGAATATCAGCCAGGAACAGGGAGGAGCTATTCTGTCCTTCATACACACCCACAGACACCCCCACGCACACATTCACATACTCACTTGCTCATTTTTTTTTTTTTACTATAGTTAAAGCTCGGAGTGACAGACCATACTCCTTTTCCTCTAGCAGAGGCACCGAAACATTAAGGCAGGGGGTATTTGTGGTGAAATGCAAAAACAAAGCTCACCTCCAAACTTCTGGAGAGTCCTGCCAACAGTGCAACTACAGTTAAGTTTGACATAAGCCTTATTTAAAAATCTGTGTTCTCATTAAGAGTTTCAGTACAAAAATAGAATCTCTGCTGTTTTTTTTTCTAGAGTAGCAACTAGAAAAGGCACAATTTCCAAGTATAAACGTCCATTTGAAGGAGCTGTTTGTACTCCTTTTTTAAATAAAAAGGAACACAGAAAAAAAAAAATCAGAGGCACATATCTATTAGCTAAGTAACCAGATACAGTAGATAAAATATGTTCCTGAAACTTATAATTAAATATATTAAAACAGCCCACAAGCCTGGTGTCTGTAAATGAAATCATATAAAATTGTAATAAAAAGCTTGTGTTATTATTTTAATATTTAAATTCTAGTTCACCATTCATACTGCAAATGCTATTTCACCTATCAGCACTGTTAAATTCCCAAGAAAAAGCGAGATTCCTCTGTTAACTTTAGTTTTGCTTGTTTGTTTTGTTTTTTTAATATAATCTGCAGCTCCTGCCAGCATTGTTTTTCCTCCTGTAGATCACATCTTTGAATGCAGATAGAACTGGAGAAGCCAGACGTGAGATACTGCACACAATCCTGGAAAACATGAGTAGAACATCTCCCTTTCCTATGCGCAGATAACACCTCCTGGAGACACTGCATTCCTTCCAGACTATGCGTGGTAGCCATTGGCCTTCCCGAAGCCTGGCCCAGGTGTGAAATTTTCATAGATTGCCATTGCTGTCATGTTCTGGTAAATAAGATCGGTTTTCTTGTCTTTCTGTGATCTAATAATATCCATAACACACTGATTTAGGAAAACGTACTGGTCCTGATGGGAGAAAGAAAAATGAGGGTAATATATTTCTAGAAAATACCTGATTTTGGAAGTAATTCTGCTCCTGAATATAGGTTTTGGTTTTTGGATGCACTGTGCTGAATGTTATCACAGAGTATTTTTTAGAAGTTGTATGTACAGTTCATAGAAAATCGGGCTGGAAAGGACCTCATGATGTCATCTGATCAACCCCCCATAAAAAACTAGGATCAAATTTACTGTCATGCCTAACACCCTCTTAAAAGACTTTCATGATGGAGATTTTACAGCCTTTTCCAAATCAGCTTGAGTTAATCCACACACCTTTTTGGATCAAAGTGATAATTTCAGCAGGAACACATGTGTTCCTGCAGAACACAAAAGAAAAGATGCACACTGAGACCACTTGAAATGATAATTCTGGCTCACAGCTATAAAGATAAAACTCACATGGGTAAAACAAGCTGCAAAAAAACTTTTTCACGATTTTATTCTTTCCAGCTGCAAATGCCAGTACTACAAAGTACTCTGTAAAGAGATTGCTTGGATATACTACAGCCCCTGGCTGCAACTACTGTTGTGGGAAGAGATGAGACAGGAAGGAGGGAAGTTAAATAAAGAGCAATTTCAGATTGCTCCTTAATATCTCATCTTTCTGTAATTCTGAGCTACATCTTGAATCCACCTCTCCTGGATTATTATGGCCATTTGAAAAACATGCTGCTGGATGAAAGACAGCCTTACCTCTGTTTGCACCATTAAAGGTCGGTGCATGCGAAGATCATATACCACTCCATACACATCCACAGTATTCTCCATTTCAATCTGCTGAATCAGGCGGTCAATGGCAATGAAAGTCCCTGTCCTCCCGACACCAGCACTGCAATGACACGGGGAAGCTATTTACTGCTTTCTCTCAACCACCTGCTCACCGGTGGCCTGACGAAAAGCCAGTGAAGCTAGTAAGATGCTTTCTATTATTTCAGTGGCACAGGTATTACAAGTCTCTGCAGTCCACCGGGGTGGTTCTTACCATCACTAAGAGGGAGGGAGGACACGCTTCGGGGCTTCCCAGCCTTGCACTTGCACAAGATTACATATAAAAGCACTGGAAAGGGCAACTTTTTCAGCTAAGTTTTCCAGGCTAGGAGAGACTGTCTGTTCTAATGCCATTTTGTATCATGTACTTTGCTACCTACATAGCATTGCTATGTTTCTGAAGCACAGGGCAAAGGCTTTAATTCAGCAGGGTGAATAGCCTATGTTCTTAAGCAAAGAGACTTTTTTTTTTTTTTAAATCAAATTGAAAAAGAATTGTTCTTAAAAAAGCCACAAGAAAAAGCGTGTCTAACAGAAACACGTTCTTCCTACCTGCAGTGCACCAGAGTAGGAGAGTCGACTGGATTTTGACTGCTGTACTCATGAACAAGGTGTCTAAAGTTGATGAGAAGGTCTGTTGCCTCCGGCACTCCATGATCTGGCCAGGAGGTGAAATGGAACTGGCGCACTGTGTGGCTCTCTGGTGTGTTGGACTAGATGAATACACATTAAAGACAAAAGAAAATAGGCTTTAGAGGAGCAACAGCAGGGTTCCTGCTGTATGTACTGGGCAAAGCTCAGCTTCGTTAGAGATGCCTGTTACAAACTGTGCAGTAATTTGATCAATGATATTTCAGTTTCCCGCTCCCTTCCGCTCTGGTAGAGAATACTTTGAAATAGTTTCCTTTTACCTTTCACTTTACTCCAAGATCTCTGCTGCATTACATTTGCTGAGAGAGATGGGGCTAATTGTTCAGTCTAGCAGATATTACAAGTATCTGCATAAGCACAAGTTTTGGTGCAAGTCTCAGGGAAACCATGAGCTGCAGGTTCACTGATGGGACAATCGGTAATTCCCATTAGCAGGCTGGATTTTGCTGGCAGATCCCTTTCTGCCACAGGGAGGGTCTTACTGACAACTCATGCCCACCTCTGGATATGTTACTAACACACTGTTGTGGGAAGCCAGGGCATATGAGCAAATGCATATACATAAATATCACAGGAATCTCATTGTCAGTAAATAGTGTGAACAATTTTAAATCAGATTTTTGGCAGAAAGCAGACCAATCAAAGCCTCAAATTAAAATAAACCACTCTTGTCCTTTTCCCTCAGATAACTTTGAATTTGATTAAGTTTTAGTGAAATTACTATATTCTGTCACTCCAGTGTTGCTTGACCTGTGAAGTCACAGTGATACGATAAACCACTTCTAGAGATACTTATACACAACGAACAACTGAGGGGGTACTCACCTTTTCTACAGTGAAGTCCCTTATTGTCCATTCTGGAAGGACAATCTCTGAGACCATTGTCACAATAATGTCACCATAGCTCTTGGATTGTTTGTCTGGCCAGTATTGCTCACATTTTGTCTAAAAAGAGAGTTACAAGGTTAGACACAATACACACAGAAACGAAGCAACTGACAGTTTTAAATAACACACCAGCTGAAGCAGGGCTAGAAAGCTTGTCGCCCTTCCCAATAGACTATCCCAAAGCAGGAGAAGCTCTGCCAAAACCATTCTTTCGGGAGAAGAACCCACCCTTAAAAGATAGCGATTCCACAACTCTCCTATAGAGACAATCTATTCTGGTAGTCAGCAGACAAAAATGGGAAAAAGCTAAAAAGATTGGGCTTATTTAATTTAGAAAACAGTCTTCTAGTAAGTGAATGGTTGTTAAAAGAAAGTGGTCAGTCTCCAACCTACTAGGGTAACAACAAAATTAGAAGAGATCCAGTCATCTTCAAGAGACAGTTCAGTTTTAATAAAAACATACCCGGCCTTGTTCAACACATTTTGTCAACATAACAATAGAGTAGATATTCTTTTCCCAAATCATGTGCCAGAAGTCTTCTATAGTATCGGGTAAAGGACCCTGTGCAGCAATAAATGCCTTCTTTGAGTTATAGCCCTAAGAAGAAGAAAAAACACAAAATACACACACACTTGTATCAATGAGACAAAAAAAGCCAATTTTAAACACCATTATGACCTGTTAAGCCTGCATCATAAAAATACACGTTATATCTCATTTCAACTAATGAAGCACTTACAGGCATATAGTTTGCATTAATATAATCATCAGTTGCAGAGCTTTGATCTGAAAGTTTAACACGAGAAATATCATCTGCAGAAAGAAAAAAAGGAATAGAAAGTTATGAATTTTAGAACTAGAACCTTTCAGCAAATTACTGCTTAATTAATGCATAGTTTCTAAATAAAAGGTGTTTTAGAACAATGTGCATGTTAAGAATAAGGATATAACTTTAGGAATCATAAATAGCAGTAGTTTAGAATTTTTATAATGAAAGACTTCTTAAAAATGAGTGACCAGAATAAAAATTCAGAATACTCAGATTTTTTTTTTTTTTTAAACATGGTTTGTTTTTCCATATTTGTGTATTTTTTAATCCAACGTGAAATGTACTATAGTTTTAATTACTGGAGAAAACTAGGTAATTTGTCTCCTGCTGCCATTGCAGCTGATGTTTTTCCTCCAAAGCATCCCTAAGTACCCGCCACTGTTCACCTTCCAATTCCTTCTTACACTCTGCTACGTCGGGGTGCCCACAGACAGCTTGGCAGGGCTTCAGCTCTTAGTCTGTCTGCAAAGCTGGCCAGCAGAGTCTTAATATTTCTCATAGCTCTGCACATTTGTCTGTCCGTAGTTAATCGTTAACCTCTTGTTTTTTCAATCTGGACTGCAAGTTTCTCACAAATGGAAAACTAAAATTATTTAATTAAGGGAAAGTTCTGTAAGGAGCTTTCTTGAGGGAAACTTTGGGAACTTTAGGGAACGTTCTTGAGGGAAAGCTCTTTAGGTTTGCTTATACAGTGATTTTGGGAAAGCAGCAGCCCAAATTCATTCATTTGGAAACTGACAACATTAATCCCTCTTTGAAACCTCTGGGTACTATTAAAGACAGATTAGCCAAACCCAAGGTTTTTCACCTAAAAACTCAACCAGTAGAAGATACAAAACCAAAGAGAGTAACTCACATGGTAAGACGTTGTTGTATCTATTTTTTCCCCTGTTCTCCGCAAGTTCAGCAGCAAATTTGGGCTGATGAACACCAGCTGACTTGAGTTCCTACAATAAAAGGAGGATTCGTGAGCACCTGGTTCTGGTTTAGGAATCATACACACATGACAAACAGACAAATACTCCAAACACTCTTGGCCTTTGCTGTAAAAGTAGGCATGTTAACTGGAATAAATGACAATAAAAATCAGCTTTTTACAGAGTGGGAGGGCAACAGTGGCAAACCAGCTAGAGGAGGGATTAATACAGAATGTAGGAATAGTAGTGTATTTAAAACCCAGAAACAGTTTTGCAGACACTGACATCAACTGCACACTCATTCTGACCCCAAGGCAGTGAACTACTTAGCGTAAGCTTTGCAGACGTTACAGGGAGAAAAGGAGCAAGTACATCACGAAAGGACTGAAGGAAGCAAAATCTGAGAGGAAGGCAAGGCGGAGCACCAGCCTGCAAAGTACAATAAAAGGAACAGAATTTGATCTGGAAAGAAGGTCAATTGATAGGTTCAAGGAGATGAAAAAAAAATGAGATTCTTTAACAGCAGACATGACAACACAGAATCCTTATTAACACTTGATTCCTGTCTTTTGTACCTTATAACAATTGAGCTTTAGCACATTTCATAGAAAAACAGTTGTGGTCACTAAGGAAATCATAATGCTGTTTCTCTGACTGCTCCTTCGAGCTATTCACAGGTGTGATTTGCAGATCACACCTATACATTCAAGGACTCAGTGATATTAGCAAGACACCTATCTTGCTGCGTAGAAAAACAAAAACAAGATTAAAAAAACAACGCGCAGAAAAGTTAAATAGCTTTCCCTAGGCTAACTCTGTAGTGCAACTAGGGCAAGGACTCTGGAGATCCTGGCTCTGGTGAGAGCTCCGAGCAGCAGGCCGTGCTATAAGCTCACAGGTAGAGATAACGGTTCAGTATGTGAAGTATTTATCATGCATTTCAACTAAATTTGGAGCTGAATCAGGGAAGGGAAGGCTATACATGCAGCTTAATAATCTCTATAATAAAGGTCCCTTCTCTTCCCCTTCAGTAAGCCTCACATACACTCCATAGGAAAGCTAATTTGCCTTTCCAAAAATGTTTGTCATGAAGCTCTCTCCACTGAGGGCACATACCTCATACTCTTCAGCAAAACCACAGTTGGAGTCTGCTTGCTGCTTCTTAAAGTAGGACTCAAAGTTCTCCACTTTAATCATTTTTGATCTACGATGAGAAAAGTCATGTGTTGGTAACTGGTATTAGGTAAACAAACCATGAATTCAGTTAATGTGTTAGAAAGCATGCTTTACTTACTTCTTGACTCTTCAGGGGAGGGTGGGGGGAAGAAAAAAAGGTTGATTAGACACATGCAGCTGTATTTTTCACTACGTGAATCTAAGAATGAAAGCATGACTGTTAGTAGCAGCCACAAAACTGTGCGTTTACAGGGGACAGGATATCAAGCATAGCATTGAGCTGATCTGTTAAACCAAGGAGATAATAGCACATCCTTCAGGAGAAGAATATCACAGAAGGGTCAGTCAGCCGCCTCTGTGCTTCCATCAGATTGGCCCCATTCCCTGGTGTATTTTATGTCAACTATCAAAGTCTACACAGGTGGGACTTCATGAGATGCTCCGGCCACGCCTTTCCATCAATAGAAAAATTGGTGCAAGAACCAATAGTGTGATTCAATTGCACTGCCTGGGACTTCCAATATATTGTGGTTACCCTCCCATGGCCAACTTTTACAATCTCAACATTACCTGAACTAATGGCTCAGCACAAAGTAGTCATAAAGCAAAGGAAAATTTAGGCCACAGTGCAGAATTTTGGTTATGTGCACTTTATCAACAGTTTGGATTGTTTCCTCAACGGGCACAGAAGCCTACATTTCATCCAAACATCCTGTTTTTCAAAACTACGTGGAGCATTTGTGTATCTAATAGCGATCCATAAAGCAAGCACTCAAATCCCTGCGGCAGCTCTAGATGTCTCGATCAATATGATTATTTTTAGTCTGCAGGCTGGAGTCTTTAAATTCCATGAAGAATTAATACTGCAAAATTCTATATAAAACTGCACAGAAAACAAGTATCAGGGTTCAGAGTAAGTTTTGCAAATATCACTTGAGCTCAGAAAACAATGTGTGAAAGGATATGAACTTACTTAATTGGAGAAAAGGACACTTCAGTATTTCTTTTATCCTTCCTATAAGGCAAAAGAAAACACCACAATAGGTTCACAGTAGAATTTAATGGAACGCATATGACATTTCTCACAACAGCTATTTCCTGTGCCTGTTCAGAATAATTTCTTTTAAAGCATCTCATTCTGTGCAAGAAAAGCCTCCTGAGGCAAACCTTACACCTGCACTAAGAATAAAATACTTCATCCTTCATTCAGTGATGTTGTGCAATGGGACTGTTGGAACCAGAGGACATAGTTTGGTGGAAGAAGCACATCGAGGGATCTGCACTGCTACCTAACATCTCAGGAGAATTGCTACTAATCCCAGAATCCCTACAGTGAGTGTTCAACAGTGATGTGTCAGTGGTACTGAAAGTGGTAGTTGGATGAAAATAAGTGTTCCTAGCTTTAAAGGAAGCTCTTTATTCTCCACAGCTACTGGACACACTTGTAAGAATAACAGCAGTTAATCAAAGAAGCTAAGAAAACTGAACTAAGGGCCCTACAGCTAACTCTTTAGAAAGGATGATCAGAAGCAGGAAAAAGCCTTTGTGGACTCAAGTCCCAGATTATTTGGAAAAGATTGGAAACTAAGAGGCCAGCTCAAACCCTAGGCAACTCATCAGCTTCTGGAAACTCCAGAATGGAAGTTTCATGTGACAGGCCATCAAGCAATTAAAAAGTGTGATTAATGGGTATTTTCGAATAAAACCATCTAAGATACAATTACATATGTCTTTTAGCAAAATAATTTGTGATGTTTGCTCACTTCTGACTGAATTACTTCATCAGCATGCATGAATTCAGAAGAGCTAAACAAATCTTAACTTGTTAGTTTTTAACTATGGGGTTGAACAAAGTCATTTAACTAGTTTGATACATCAACTCTAATCTCTAACATACAAACAAGATTTTTAAAAGAAAGTATTTTAAAGCACCATGACAGAAGTGTATAAAACGCTGCATCAAAAGAAGCGTGGCCAGCAGGTCGAGGGAGGTGATTCTGCCCCTCTACTCTGCTCTGGTGAGACCCCACCTGGAGTACTGTGTCCAGCTCTGGAGCCCTCAGCACAGGAAAGACATGGACCTGTTGGAGCGGGTCCAGAAGAGGGCCATGAAAATGATCAGGGGGATGGAACACCTCTCCTATGAAGAAAGGCTGAGAGAGCTGGGGTTGTTCAGCCTAGAGAAGGGAAGGCTTTGGGGAGACCTTGTTGCAGCCTATCAGTACTTAAAGGGGGCTTATAAAAAAAGATGGCGGCAAACTTTTTAGCAGGGCGTGTTGCAACAACAAGGGGGAATGGCTTTAAACTAAAGGGGAGTAGATTTAGACTAGATATAAGGAAGAAAAATTTTACCACTGAGGGTGGTGAAACACTGGAAGAGGTTGCCC